CTAGATACAATCTGGCGTCTTTTCATGAATAAATTCATTACGAGATGATAATAAAACATTGATGTATTGTGTGTGCATAAAATAATCGAAAGGAAAAATATGAAATTTATACCTACAGAGAAAAGTAGGTTTGAAACCTAAAAATATACTTGTAGGATAATAGAATCACTCTTCAAATATGTGAATAATATGTTTATCGATTATCATATATCTCATATAAATACTTGTTCCTAATGACAGTATGTTCAGTAAGAAATACTATTACGTAGGTATAGAATCACATCACAACACCAACATGTAGTAAACAATAATTATACTGCTCTGCGGTGAATGAAATCTATTTTAAAAAATATGTAAAAGTATAAAGGCCGGTGTTTGCCAGTGTGCCTACAGTTATTGACCAAATAGATCGCACTAGCATTTATTACTTTTAGTCGGAACTTCATTTACGTGACAATAATAAATTATTAAAGGGGATAAAAAGCAGCTGTTACTGACACCACAGATAAGATAATTTAACGTACCTACTGACTATATTAAATCATTATTATAATTTAATATTTTCACAACAACAAATAAAAAGGGAAAAGAATTCTTCGTTCTTTCTATTCCCAACTGCGGTTTTAACTCGCATGGAGACAATAAAGAAACAAATATATTTATTTTTACAATTATTACCTCAAAATTCGGTTTTGTTTATAATTCTTATTAGTAATTCGATTAATATTTTATATTTATTCTAAAGCAGTGCACCAATATTGTGTAAAAAGTTAGTTCTAGTTAAGTATAAATTTTGTTATTATTAGGTATAATATAGTAATTATTTAGCAAAAGACAAAGAAAAAACAAAAGAACAAAGATTCCGACCTAAGCTGAGTGCATGCTGTTTCCTTGGCTTGTTGTTTTAAAGGGTTTAAAATCATAATTTGATTGTATAAAACGAATAAAGCGAAGAAAATTTATCTTAAAGGTGTAGTTAGCATTACGTATTGTGCGACATCTTTTAATACCGTGCAAAAGCTAAGCATGACAGGCAAAAAGAGTTAGACACGTACGTTCTAGAAGGAACAGGCAGCCCCGCTTCTAAAAGCACATCCCCAGCGGGCGTCCTTAAAAAGGCGTTATTTACATAAGCTTAAGGATTTAGATTAACACAGCAAAACAAATACGGGGAGGACGTTAAATACCAAAATAATCATTACTTATTTTACAATTAATTAGGTAATATTGTAAATGTTTTAGCTAAGTAAAAAGTTGAAATTAAATGTTTTGTGTTACATATAGATATGTATATGCATAAAAAAATTATAAACATCACGCTTACAAAATTTGCAACAAATTAAAAAGTGAAATATTTAAAACTATGTTAAATGAATGGTATTTAATAAATTCTGAAAATTACTATTGAATACCTAAATTGCAGGTGCCAGAAAGAATTATTACCGATTTCATTGTAAATTGTTATTATGTATGTTATTAATATGAAGTCTAAAATAGATACGTACGATTCTCCGGAACTCTTCGTGTGATCACGAGCTCTGCTATCTGAAATAAGATAAAAATATAAAAAATACAAATGTGTTTATTACTAATTCATATTATAAATTGTATAAACAAATATCATGGCCCATTTAAAAAAAATGCAAATAAAATTATATATACTCCGTCGGCGGCGTGTCCAGACTTCTAGTGAATTTGGTAGTGTCGCAATTAATTGTGGTCACTGCGGTAAGAGGGTCACGACTGCTACTTTAGTACACATAATATATTATGGTGTTATCTGCAATCATAGACCACACTATCAATTTATCCCTCTTCATCCAAAGAATGCCTGTCTAGTAGAGATGCCTATCGACCATAAGTAGCATTGTGCGACTCCTTTCTTATATTTACAACTGTATGAATAAGTAGGTACTTTACAATTATTGCGAGGTGTCAATTGTTATTCATTTATGTATAGCAATTAGAATTACATTACTTATTATCAGTGCGTTTTATGACGCCTTTCTGCGACTTCCATGAAAAGACGCTTCCACCAAGTTCCATTCTTTTAAATTTATAAATACACATAGCGTTTCTAGATGCTTGGTTAAGGCATTAAGTGTGAAGTGGTAACAAACAAACTTTCATGTTACACCATGTTTCATATTTACACCTTCGACATGGTTGATGTGGCGAGGATAACTTGAATGACCCCAGTAAGCCAGCCTATTCATTGAATGATTTTTTTTTAACTATTGGTAAAGTATAAGTTGTTGTCAAAATAATGGTTGGTTGATTTGCAATATTTCGCCATGGGAGGCACGTAAATATTACTAAAATGAAGTCCAGTGGGTACGCGAAAATAATGTAGATTGATAAAGCTATTAAGACGTTAAGAAGTAGCAACAAACAAACATTCTTTCTTATTTATGATATCAGTAATGTAATAATGGTAAGGGATCATAAAATCCAATATACTATATTTATATTATACAGTAATGTAACAGCACAAGTTAGCAGTTAGTCCACAATACTGGAAGGTTCTATCTTATGACATTCGTTTAGTGTTCGCGTTCGGCCTAACTGAGAGATCCTGTATTATGGTAGTGAACATAATAATATCAATATTATTTTGGGCAGGGGATTATTAATATTGTGGACTAGTATCTCGACCTCCACGCATATAAGTATAGGGCCCTCCCTATACTTATATGGACCCTGGAGACTATCGTGGTTTATTCGTAGTGAATTCGTCACGATGGGCTGACCTTACTTCATGCTCATCCTCCACTGGTAGCTTCGTGTATCGATAGTGAAGGCGGATGCAGTAAATCATAATTAAAAACTATTACACGTTATGGCCACTACAATTTCTGCCCCAAACCAATTAGAAACCCATCCCGATCCAACGTAAAAGTATGATTAATGAATTTTATAATGAAGAGTACGAAATAATTTCTAAATGTAGAGCAATAGTAGCAATATACATATTAGTAGTATAGTATATATATAGTATAGTCGTATCTTACTATTCTACTAGTCGATTTTATGTGAAATATTGTATTGTTCAATTTCATGGCTCCATATTATTTATCCGAAGAAGTAAAATGGAAAAATGTATAACATGACCACTTTCTTCAGATCTTACTTTCAGTTTTTCATTTTCTTTCGTAAAGTAATTTTTAGTGTCATGAATACGTATTCTAGTTGGATTTTTTTTTCAGACTTACTTTTAGTTTAGAAACTAATTGAAGGTAGTACACAACATCAGTGTTTAAAAAAACATACAAAATAAAACAATTTATCTCTTATTTAATAAATACTTTATGTTTAATTACATTTATTTCCGAGTAACGTAGTGTTCCATAAACATCAAATACTTAATTGATTATTATCAAGACTTATACGAACTTTTGATTCTCATAAAAACTTTGAACAACTGTTATATAACATGTCTAAATAGAAACTAATTTAAAATAACCTTAATGTATTAAGATTATAAGCGATTGATAATTATGGCTAAATATTTATATGTCTCTCTTATGACATGTTACATAATATTAGAAAAAATGCTTGACACTAAATAAAATGGTAAGCTTAATTTATAAAAGCATTAATTTGGCGAAGTGCAAAATGGCAGTGTTTTCAAACATTGAATATTTTTATCTTAATTGACATCCAAATTCGGAATACCTATAAAAATTGAGGGCGTGGTATATACTTAAAACTAAGATTGGTACAAAAATAATACGCTGCATACCTATTTCATACGATATACTAAAAAAAAATCACAATTTTGGTGACTTACATCTAAAATGAAAATAAACTAAAAATATTTTTACAAAAAAGTGAGTCATGAAACAACTGGATGTTTCGTTTTACATTTATATTGTAGCTTATATTTTAAATATATATCTATAAAACTAAAGTGAGAAGCATTTTATATACAAAGAAATATAAAAATATAAACGTGGTGGTACGAACACATGTAATAACTAAATAACTAACTGAAATATAGACGAAATTATGATTCAAACAATCATAATAGTAATACGTAATAGTAATAGAGTTTCTTATTGGACAATATCGAACAGTCCTCTTATTGTTTGGATAACCCAGTGAATAGTTCAGAATCCACGATAACCTAGAGTCGTAGAGTGTCATTTGCCCAAAAATACAGAGTTCGGTTCACTGTTAGGCCAATTCAGATTACTTTTCTCGTTGGTTATATAATATTAGAGTTTGGGCTATTAAATATTTTGCTTTAGGTAATGTTATTTAAGGACCAAAATCCCATGTCAGCTTATGGTAATACAGACATATAGATAGTTTTTCTTTTAATCGAACCTAGTAGCACAACAATATGAACCTGCATTTATATACCACTGCATTTAACGGATTTATCATAATTTTAATATGCAAGTTTTGTGATTCAAATATTTCGGTCAGCAATAAGAGAATAAAAAAAAGCTTAAATATACTTCTAAAAGAATTAATACTCGGTAAAAACTTAAATCTAGCCTAAAGTCAATCTATTTTATTGGATGTTCTAATGAAGTATCAGTCATTTTATTTTATTCGAAAATTAATAAATGTTCTCGACTTTTATTATGTTGATCTAATCTGCACATAAATAGGTACACAAGAAGAATGGAAAGACGGAAACGCTTTCAGAAATTAATATAAATGTTATTCACTACTAAGATAAATGCATTAAAAAGATAAAATATTTATTCATTCACATATTTTACGTGTTTTGAATTTAGAACTAGAACTAATTAATATTATCATTTCGTTAACAAAAGCGCACCCAAATGCATACACTTTCGTTCATTTAGAACAGTTAGGATATACAGGATATAAATCATTAACGAATCCATTATAGCCAATTTGATGATATTATGTTCCATTTTTATCATTTGTTGTCTATAAAAACAATTCGATAAATCTCTTCTACGCGACGATTTCCATTCGAATCGTTAAAATCAAGGACAAGGATAACTTAACTTAACTGGGACTAAAAAAAATGTGTAAAAATAAAATCATATCATGCAGGTATGTACCTATATACAAATTAGAAACACAAAAAAGTCTGTACTTTATTCGTTCGTTAAATGTTTGTGCCTATGTTTTATAAAAAAATACATTGCATGACCTAAGGTTGAATGTGATAGATCATAATTTACCTTAACATGCCACGACTTCGTAGTTTACCATTATAATGTTATTATTTAGATTAGAGAAATAAATTTATAATTATACGGCTGTATGAATATTCAGTTATTCACGTTACCAAATAACGTTTAAATGTTATTAAATGGTAGAATTATGTAGTAGTAGTAGTAGTAATAGTATTATATATTATATTATTCCTCCATTGATGATCCAATTTACTGTTCAGTGATGGTAATATCTCAGATATCGTGGCGTGCTAATAATCAAGTTATATTAAAAGCGCTTATTACAAAAAGCTAATAGTTAATAAAAATAATACACTTGGTTTTATATGTAATATGCTTACATTCCTTACATTTACATTGGGTAATCAAGACGGCTTATAAAATTTACAATTATATACGAACAATTCCAATACATATCGGAAATATATATGATAATAATTCAGAGTATTTATTACATCTAAAGAGCATATTTTATAATTTGAGATTTCTATTAATACAGCCGAGTTACTTTAAACGTACAATAACTATGTAAAGACGCGATCCACGATAATATCCAAGCCTATGTTTAGATACTTTAACACATTGTTTTGTAATTACAGACTCTAATTGATGGTCAGGAACACTTGGGGAATACACCTATTGTTGCTTGAGATCATTACGTGGGAAAACTTAAAAAAATATATAATTGTACCTTAAGTATTGTTTATATTTATCATAAGCATTAAATGACGATAGCACTACATTTTATTTTTCCAATATAGATAAACACTACTTAACGTAACCTGCAACTTTTAGTAATATATAAGTTGGCGCGAAAGTTTATATAATTATCAATATAAACTTAATTCGCCAGCTGAGAGATTTATGGTATTACTGCTATGAACAATGAATCGTTGCACACAGCTGTTTTCGTCAAGGCTTGTAATATGTTAACTTTGTTGTACAAATATCAATAAATTATGGCAATATTCATAATTTCATTGATTATTTGATCTTTTTATATATCTTGATCGTAAAATTATAACAGAGATGTTAATAGTTTGTCAAAAATAAAAGTAAATAATTCTTTAAACTATATCTTTTCACAACTGTTAACTGAATCACTGATTTCGTTTAAGATGTGTAAATGCAGTATGTCTTTTTAGCTAATTACGTAACGTTATAATATTTTTTATTTCTGAGTGCCATCGTCAGTTTATACAGTAAAATTTATAATGTCAAGGCTTTATACTTTGTTTTAGAACTCGTTTTCTACACAAAAAGTAATTTTCCATCTGAGATTTCTATTCTCACTGACTTCATTAAGGGCGAAGTGCCCATCTGTGATTCGGACCGTTGTTTTCAAACCCAACTTTTATTGGTACTGCAGGTGACATCATTTTTAGTAACGGAATCGAAACAGATGGGACCACCCTTAAATATTCTAAGTACAACCGAGTAAAAATTAGACAATGAATTATATTAAACTTACATATTATTGTATTTTTGTCATATTCAGAAAACAATGTAATTTCATTAGACGTCAAAATATTACATAATATAAACAGTTACTAAACATCTAAAAGAAATGGCCGTTAACTATAAAATCTCTAATATAATATCCAATTTGTCTATTAAAATTATAGTGCTATATTTTATAAGTAATATCTTTTATAAAAAATCTTAATTATAAAATGGTCTTCGTAGATTCGTTGCTACATAAAGAATTTTATATTAAGTAACAATATATGAAGCTTATCTGGCACTATACAAACTAATAAAATTAAAATTTTAATTGAAAAGACTAATAAATATATCTAATAATTCATGTAAACAAATGTCTAATATTTCCTTTTTTGTAACTGGTTATATATTTTAACTTTTTAGTTCTACTCTTTTCAATTAAAATTTTCAGTACAATCTCAAAATAAAGTGTTATTTTAACGCTGTCACTCGATACAATGTATATATAGGTATTGTAAATATTTTCATTTCGTTCTGTTAAACATGTACTCATATTCCGATTACTGATATTTGTCTTAAAATATTTTAAATATAATTATAATAAGTAGTAAACAGTATGTCCGTGATAAGTGACAAGTGTAACTTAAATAAATGTTTTGCGACTTCCACGAGTGACAGCTCACAACTTACATATAATAATTTATACCGCTGTATCCGGCTTTTTCTCTGGGTATTTTGTGTTTCCATTGCTGATGTACTCTCCGTGGTCATGGGAGGGGTTTTCCGAGCCCTTGACGTCATCGTGTGGGGGCAGAGGAGCTTCGGAGTCCGCTCCATCAGGTATGTCGGTGCGGTGAGACCGTCCTGCCACATACCAACACATTAAGCGATCAAGTTGTGTGCCTCATTTTATACGTCTTTGCATTTAGCGCGTGGTAAGCTTGTTATTGAAATTGTGATTAGTGATTTTGCATTTACTATTAATGTGTATATATTTTAAAATGTGCTGTGATTTTTAGCGAAGCCTATTTTTGATTTGTTGAAAACTGAGAGCTTATTTAGTTTTTCTACCAATGAATACTTATTTAAATAGCAAAACAAAAGCTATTTTCCATTTAGTACAAAATTTTTTTTATTTATAAAGGGTTTGGTTACGATCGGCGTGGATCTAATTAGCTCTGAGTATAATATTACCCATTAGTTTTCCCGAAATAATTTTCTATTATTTATTTTGTTTCTTTGCCAATATAATAAGTTGTTAAATAGGAATGACAAAATAGAATAACAATTAATTAACAACAAAAAGAACTCTGCGTAAATTTCTACGCATGCATTAATGAATATAAAATTCCTCTTTACTTCATTTCTTATATTGGCATTGTTTTTAACATCTTTATCATTATTACATTTATCTTTACATATAATAAAATCACGAGAATGCTAATCTCTGCCTGCTTGTCTGTTTTGTTCGTTAAGGTTTGTAAGAAGGAAATCAAACGACTCGAGGAAACAATTTAAATTTTATTTTCACGTTATGTAAATATTTTATCCTTTGATTATCGTAAATAAAATACATCTAAAATACTGTAAACTCGTTAAAGAAGTATCATCATCGGGCATCATTAGCAATAATATAGATTATATTTAAAGTTTTGTATTATACTACGACCTCTGTTTCGCTCCAGAGCATTCTCATAAATATACAAAACGAGCTATACTTACTGAAACAATTAGGGCATTAGTCCGTTTTGTTCTCGCTTAGAAGCTATCATCTAGCAACAGTTTACATTTTCAATTATTGATTACTTATTCACAAAGACACCTATAAATGAAGGGTAAACTAAATATCTTTTCCCAATTATGTCTAGGTTAACATCTGGAGATTCTTGAGGCTTAATTATGAAGAGAAATCCTTCTTGTTGAATTTAAGTCTTATTGCTTTCAATATTGTACAATTTGATCAACTTTTTATAGAATATATAAAAATGTATATAAATATATGGATGGATGCGAACGTAATGGCTATACATATATTAGTAGAATAATATTGCTTTTCAATGCTAAATAAATTATTTATCCCCTTCATTTAGAAGCGCCTTTGTAAATATCCTCCTTTGTAAATATCCTTATTCAATAATTAAAAATGTGAAATATTGCTGAATGATTATAGGCGCGAAGATTTTATATATTGGTTCAGTAATAAGAAGCCATTATATATGCTACCATTGAGCTATCTATATCTATTAACAATTCTCACGGGAAGAGAACAATGGATTTGCGTAGACAAAAATATGGGACTGCAATTTATATTTTTTTAAACATAATTGCTATGTAAACACTATTAAGTTAGTTTACAAACTGGGGTGTCCTGTATTACGAAAACAAACAATAACAGCGTACAAAATGCTTAAAACACGCGAGCAAATTCAGAAAAGTTCAATTACTAAATTGTTCTGACCGACATTTGAACTTGGGACTCCATTTACGCAAAGTATAATTTGTGAGTGTCTATTGCGCAATGGTATCGTTATAATCTTTGTATTCACAACGCATATATGCATCTTTATTTATATTGTATATATTTGATGTAATATTAATGAATGATTATGGAAATTCAATTTAACATTTGTTTTCAATGTGATTGTCTGCCCTGACGCATGGAATGCAACTAATTAATTTAATTTTACACAACGCAAAAATACTCATTTATTTAGTTTCTATACGTGTATTGTTATTTTTTATTTTAGTTTATATAACTGCTAGTAGTAGTAGCTAGTATATTTTATTGTTTATTGGTTACTAAAAATGTTACAACACATTAACTGTTATTTTCTCTACATGTGAGGTCTTTGAGGTGATGTTAATAAATACATACTATGTCAACCAACACCATAACAATGAATAATTATGTTAAGTGTATCATCTATTTAAGTGTGTACAATAAGTTTATTGTGAATATTAATTTTCTATCAAATATTTTATTAACCACAATTTTATATGTTACACAGAACTCATGGTTACATATTTATTAAAACACCAACACCATCTAGTTTACTAAAAATATGTAATAATTATATAATAATGTATAATATCCAGATATAAGACATAGATCCCTAACATTCATTTTCCAATAATAAAACGAATTGATTAATGAAAAATCATGCAAAAAGATGACAATGTCGTGTTCAATGGTGGTTTCATGCTGTTATAGAGAGACAGAGGAAATGCGACAGAGATAGGAAAAAATAACGCATGCGCCTAATCGGCCACTTATATTATTATTCATGCATTCCGTTTAATTTAAATAATTTTGATCGCTTAATATATTGCTATACGGCACAACTGACATTACATAATTTTATAATATTAACAAAAACACTACACAAAAATTACAAGCAAAAAGGACATTACAAACATCGTTGTTATATTCATTGCCAGGTATATACTAAAACTACATCAGCCAAACATTTTTGCTAAAATCCGAGGCTATGCCTTTAAAGTAGTGCAAGCCTCATGTGATTTAAAAAATGTACTTTTTCTTTACCTATCGACCAAAGGCCTGTGAGCCTGTGAGAAATTATGTTTATTAATATTATTCTCAACTATGAAGGGTATATTGCATGCCTATTTCATATAATCAAAGCATGTACATATGTAAAGCAATGAAATGCAAAAAGTAAATTATCGACTGTTTTCTTTTGAGCTAGTTATAAATAGGTAATGATGGTAGTTTCATACAACTCACTAGGTACCATGAAAACACTTTTTTAGCTTTTCATAATAACTTTTCTTAATGTAATGTTTGGAATTATTAATAATGTCACTATGATAAAGGACTAAAGTGTTTTTTTTTATTTGATAACCAGTGTAATTACATAATATGTATACATATATATAACATACTATGCTACCTATAGTGTTCATCATATAGGTAGAGTTAACGAGCCCCGAAAGCTAAGACGGCATTCTTTATGTCGCAAACTACACTGGTTATTATAACTTTCAGACTGAAATATGCATTACAGATTCACTGCAAACATATTTAAGAAAAGGTGTCACTACCTATTCAGGCGAGTCATATAAAACTTAGCCACCAAGTAAGATAATTACATTAATTGTCTCTACAGATTATATAAAAGTCATTTAGAATAAACTGTCGATAAGACACTTATGGCATTCAGAACGATATGGCAGGAGAAAATTAAATTAAAGTATTTGTCTATATTTTTTTATTGACAATAAAATATGTGGAACTAAGTAAGATGCCTGTATTGAGAAACCATGGTATTATATTGACTTATGATTAAATCGAAAAACTTTCCAAAAATAAAAAAAAGATTACATAAACAACACAGTTATATAATTGATTTATACGGTATAAAAAAGTAGTGAAATTGTTTTAATTCATGTTTTTTGGAGATTCATAGTTTTGGAAAAAGTTTTTATGCGACTTGGAATGGGAAGTAAACAGTAGACTCGGCTAATGAAAACTTATAAACTATAGAATATGAAAATTGTGGAACCTAGAATTGGCTATGGTGACGATATTTTAAACATGTTCCCGAGGACTGGTGCTATGCTCCGTACCAAGTAATTTTACTGTCGTACCTCACGAATGATTAAATTTATAGAAACTTATGATACTGTTTTATATTAGCATGTTATATCCTTTACTTTGTTATACCGTACATTACATTAAAATTTAATCCTTTGCCTTCCGTGCCACATCGTCTGAATATAATAAAAATTGTCGATTTAATTTAGAGAGAAAAAAGGATAATTTCATTCACAACTCAATAAACGGGACATGATAATGAACTAATTATCATATTTTGATAAGACCGCCATATTTTCACAACGAACGAGGCAGACTTTTTTTGTAATATTATATTATAAAGAAGAATGAAATTTGCCTGATTAATATTTTTTTTCTCATAATTATTGTCTTTTCATAATTCGTTTGTGGGATTCGATTAACTTTATTTTGGTAAATTACCATCACGAAAATATGAAATAAACAAAAGGAATCCGCGATCCCGCAAATAAATGAAGTAACAGATATAAGAATTAAGAATGTCCTGGAAGAAAAATCGTATAAAAAGTCTGCCTTGAGGTGCACGGTTTTGAAACCGTAATGACGTCATCTACAAAGAAAAGAAACACTAACCTGCAAAGCACCATCTGTCGGTTGCCTTGGCGAACACCACCAGCGATACAGCGATGAGAAGCACGAGGACTGCTATCACGATGCCCACTATTGCACCCGTTTCTAGTTCCACACCTGTACATAGACAATCGTATTATTTTATTTGTATTAATTATCACGGTGTAAACAGTAATACCGTCGTTGTAATATGAGAATATTACTGAAGACAATTGGCTTATAATATCTTTCTTAAAAATGTAAAAGCTAAAAAGATTTAATGCAGCCTAATAATCTCTTGATCTATATAGTAATGAAAAAGTAAAAAACAGGCACACACTCATTCGCGTTCATCACATTAACATAATACAGATTTATCTTAAATCTATCTAGAATCGTATTAATATATTTATCGTTTATATCAATATTCTATTGACCCATTGACAATATTGAAGTAACGGTTTTTGACCCCGGAATACCACCTCCTTCTACTTCACACCAGCTACCTACTTTACAGGCTTGAGTGTGGACTAATAACTCAATTGCTAACAATGTAGCATGTCAGCTTGACCTCCGATTCCCCCTGGAAATCATAGTGGTAAATTGCAATTTAACAAGATGGGCTTACTGGCCTGACTTTGTGCTAATTTTATCATCCTCCACTGGTGTCCTGCCAGCGTAGCGCAGGCGGGTGCATCATTCTATTATCATCCATAATTATTTTATGTCTACATAAGTACTTCTCTTATTATTATTTAAATATCTACATCAATAAGACATCAATTAACAAGCCAGATACTGCATCGCGTTATTACGATTATTTGAATTTAACTTCTTACTTAAACAGCTATACTTTTTTTTAATCATATACATTATGACCATTTAACTAGTCGTTTTCATCATGTACAATGCCAAAATCATAATAATAAATAACACAGTAATAACGTTCCATTACACATTTCGCATAATTTACCATGCCCAATAATGAAACCGTTCAGATTTACTAAAATATCTATTCAATTAAAAAAACGTAGCATGCGTTTGTTAAATAACATATATCAAATTACTAAAAAAAATACAGAAAGTTATTCATGCTGACGAGTATTTTGTCATCTACAATACTTAATTATCTATGCGTATGAAATAAATAATTAATATAGGCATCCTACAAAACAAATAAACTGCATTCGCAAAATACGTTTTCATAAATACACATATCATTTTTTAATAATGCGAAAAAGAGCATTCTTTTCAAATATTACAATATCCGAGCTTCTATTATCATTCTCTCTTACCATAGACATCGATTATCAGAAATGACGACTTCGCTTTGCGCGCTGTTGGAAATACGAACTTATTAAAATTTAATGATGATATTTTATTGATAGCTGCTCATCTTCGAGCATTTTATCAAGAAATCGGAAAGTTTATGTTTGTTAAGTTACTTCTACCGTAAACTTCCATTAAATGTGACATTTGTAACTGTTTATGCTCAAATTTTTATATTAAAATAAATTGTCTAGTAAATGATTAAAGCTAATAATTGACAAATATTTCATAGTAATTTATTAAACTTAACAGGTATTACAGACGTTATCAATTTTGCGGAGTGAATGCGCTAGTCCTAAGTGAAGCATTATCAACTTCCTTTGTCTGTGATTTAATTCACTGAGAGCATATTTAGGTTATTAAGAGAATTTAAAATAAATAAGTTAAAGAAATGCGAAATTTTAGGCTTTTATAGAATGTTTTCGTAGTACAAAATAATTATATAATGGGATTACAGCCGATACATAAAACATTGTTTATTATTAAAAAAAAAGTAAGAAACAAAAATAAGAAAGAAAAAATATAATAGTAAAGTGTACCTACTAGTCTACTTTTTAAATAATTTATTTTGAAGTTAATTGTGATTTAATTAATTAAACTTCTGCAAAAGAATATGTCACCATGTGTTTCTCAAACTGTGGTTTGTCATTAGGTGTTTATATATTATATATATTATATATACTACCAATGTTATATTTGCTATTTATTAAGAAAGTTTTTTATAGATTCCACTTCAAGTTTCTAGGAATTCGTAGCTGAAAAAGGAAACCTGATCATGCATGTTAAAATACAATGAAAATCTTACCAGCTGGCTCATCCATTGTACTAATAAGGACTGTAAATTCCTCACTGCCCAGATCGTTAGAAACTCTTAGGTAGTACTTTCGCTCCACATCTTCTTTTTCAATTCTGTATAATAACAGTGTGATGTTATAATAGCCATTACCCTGTAAACAAAAGAAAGATTATTCATTTATATACTTACACTATAATTCTATTAATGATATCAAAGTTATAACATAAATTAAATGCAAATCACGTACAAATAGGGAGAGAGTGAAAAATAAAAAGTTTTTGTATATAATATTATAAACAAATAACTGATCGCATTATGTACAGACACAGGGAAGACATTTGAGAAAACTATTATTGGGGCACTTTATCAACGTAATGGAACTCGAACACAAAGACTGTTAGAATTGTTGCATATTTGTGCGTTTGTACGCGTTTATCTTGGAAACGGCCTAACCTATTTCATCATGGTTTTCACTATTATATCTATACTGTTTGCATTGCAATCACTATAAACAAACGTTTATAAATTTTTGTTATTCCGCGTAATCATACTTCCATGGAAATGGGTATAGAAGCAAGAATTTAGTTGGTAACATTAAAAAGAACAAGTTTCTTGTCGGTTCTTCTCAACTGAAGTAACTGGCCGACCATATAATATATAATAAACCATAGGCATCTCTATGCCTATGGTTTTTTTCTTATTTTTTATCTCTATAAAAAATAAGTCATACATACAAGGTCGAAAAATCCTATATGAACATATGAGTTTCAAAACACATATCTTCACTAAAATTACAATTATATTTTTATAACAATAAAAAATACAAGTAGAACAAGTTCCTTTAGATTAGCTATGCTTATTTGACTTTTCGTTATTAATAATTTGTTGTACTCACCAAGCGCAGCGGTTCCAACGCAGCGATATTGGCATGGTCGTTACTTTGTGGTGCAACCAGTCTCTGGTCTCCAACAGTCCACTCAGCCTTCGGGGCAGGATTTGCCCGAATGGTTACATTCAATCGCCCTTCAGCGCCCAATTTTAGGCCAAAGATTGTGATTGTACCTTGTTCCAGACGCTGGGGTGGATCTGAAATTTGGGAAGTTGGTATAAATGTTAAATATGTTACCGAGGTCTTTTGTACAAAGTCCTCTGCACGTTAATATCACCTATTGTAGACACTAAGTACTTGTTTTTTAGGATGTGTTTAGGTTGTAGGCAGTGAAATTACAGGATATGACACGAGCAGGAGATCCCAGTCTCTCGTAATGGTAACATATGATGGTTACCTTAGATATGACATGGTGTGCGTGATGCTGTTCATGTAGGGTTGGGTTTGGGTTTTCAGCTTACTTGTCATTCCAATAAATAAAACAAAATATTGCGGAATATTATTTGAATTTGGTGATTCAAATGTAGTGATTTATTATAAATTGTATCCTGATAATCGACGGGTTTTATTTTTTTATGAAATACTAATTGATTAGTAATTTGTAGATACTCAACTAAGTTGTGACGTTCGCAATTGCAACTGTAATGGTCGGTCCGTATGTAAATGCAAAAATATAAATTTAATCTGTTTCAAATGACATAGGAACAGCGTAACAAGACAAATCCAAAACAAAACAGTACAATTGTTAATTGTAATCGTCATCGAACCATTAAGATCTCTTTGTTAAGTACAAGTGTGTCTCGATAATAGAAGGATACTACGCAAACTAGGTGAATTTTTGTTTTAATTTTTCCTTCTAAATACAAAATTTTTCCTTCCATCCTTTTAAATTATGAATTTTTGCAGGCGCAATATACCAAACTCTAATACTACTTGATGTTTCACTAAGAAACGTTAAGTGAAAAATCCGTTAATAATAAATATAACAAAAAAAAATATTCCAAGAGTGTAAAATATTTATGATGTCTACGATTTTCTTCATTCAATAGGTAGTCTGGTGGTGTTGTCATTATTATACCAATAAAATACTACTTAAATTCTTACTAGTAATAAAAATAGAAAAGTCATACACATAAATTATCTTACAATGTACAAGTATCTGTCTTTTCGCCTCTCTGGGTAGATCTAAAGCTTCATGCTCAGCCCTGCACGTCAGCGTCTTGGCATCATCATCAGCAACCAGAATACGGCTGATGTTCTGACTAATAGTCTGAAGATCGTTGGGTTCGCCTGTGATTATGGGCTGATGGATGCCTTCGAATAGTGGGTTCTCATCTGTAAGGAAGAGGCAACAATTATAAAATAGGTCAAGTGCAACTAGCACATATCATCTAGTCAGGTATAAACGTTATTTTGTCTTGTCTTCAAACCTTTCTCAGGAACTACAGTTGCAATTTAGCTTATTTTTTTATACTGCGATGGTGGCAACAAACAGGTCTTACTGATGGTAAATAGTTACCATAGTTATATGAAGATATACACATACATATATATATAGATGAACAACTTTATAATATATTGGATGCAAAGTTAAACTTTACTATAGGATGTTATTATTAATTATTAAATCTTGTCTTTCAGAATTATAGCCATAATCAAAGGCATAAACCTAAACTTACCTAAAAACCAAGTAATCTTAGCGGGTGGTCTTCCGTCTGGCACCACACATTGAGCTGTGAATTTTTCACCTTCATTGAAGGCAGGTTGCTGGGGAGATACTAGATGAATTACGCTGGGAGGTCCTGGTAACATAAAATGTTAGATTTTATATCTTCCTATCTATCTATCGACATATTATCTTCTAGATTTTATATATATATTACTTGCAATAATAAACATAGCTAACAGTTCAACGGTAATGCTAAACTATCATATTCACAAACATACATGCATCATTAACGATATGATGAATAACAGGTTATAATCATAGCCAGGTACTCTAAGAGGAATAATCGTACTTTTATATATAGATGAAGTTAATAATTGAAAAAAACCCATCAAATTAAATGCGGAGTTAGATTTAATTATAACTAAGTTAGGAGAGAAAAGGCATACTAACTTGCCACAATCAGCGTCATGCTGTGAGAAATCTCAACGTTGCCGGTCCGAGGAGGAAGTGAGCATGTGATGTTGCCATTCCATTCCTCTCTTATCCGCCGTATATGGGCTCCGCATTCTCCAGCCTGCAAAAATAAAGTATATTATACGACTAAGCAAAGAAACTACTAATGAATTAAGAGATTTTTAACAATCGCAGGGCTTTGAACAGATAAAGATTTCAATCAAGAAGTCTTCTTATTAAGGTCAGTCACACAAAAACACCACATCCATTACGTTTACAGATCAAAATAATAACTTTTTGTAATAATAACTAAATTAGATAAGGACCTTAATTCAAGGTTTGTATACTGGGAATGAAATTTACGCAAGACATATATATATGTCTAAAATTTTCGTAGTCTAAAAACAACAGTTTGGATGGTATACCTGGAGCCCACCGCCGTGGTAGATCACGTCATCCTCTGAGTTCTGACCTGACGGCGATAAGATGTATGACTGATCTCCCACTTTTATCCTGAAAAATATAAATTCTTGCATAAAATAGACACTCTCATAAAATGTGTTTTAAAGGGTAATTCAAGAGTTAAGTCGTACAAGAGTCATCAGTTAAGTGGTTGGTGGTTTTACTTTCATTTATTTAGCAGTATAAAACCAATATAGCAACTTAACTTCTGCCATAATTATGTTGATTTCATGGTATCATGCAAATTTTTAATTTTTCAGAGTAGGTTGACGTGTTGCAAAAGAAATTATACATTACAATGTAGAACTTCCCGGTATATGCAGCCTTCTACATTTTATAATAAACTATAAAATCATTTCATTTCATTTTATATATCGTAACTTTAAGAATATTGAAAATATAATATCTATTGACGATTTTGAGAGAAACTGTAAAGTATGCTACCGTGCAAAATAAGTATAACATAAAATACTATATCGTACTTACCGACACGAGTTTATTTGGTACGCCACTTTGCACTCCACGAACAGTTCGCCACCGACGCGTCTTACGGCCTCTGGTGGAGTTATTGTGAAACTCGGCTCGCCTGCGGAATAAATAAAAGAAATAAGTGACCATTTTAGTTACAAAAAGGAAAGGAAAGAAAGTCCAAAATAAATAAATTGACATTGCATTTTTATTTTTCAAAACTCTAGAGACTGTCTTAATAACATAAGTAAATATTATCACATTACATATTCTTCTTTTAAAATAGAACACTAAATGTTTCCATTCAAACAGACTTCCTGTATTTAATCTACTCACATCAGATCTATTCATGACATCGTCTGTTAATAGTATTGATCTTTTTAGTACTCGGGACATGTTAGACAATAATTTCAGGATCGCATCACTAGTTGGAGTGCTTTGCTCAGTAGATCACAGAACAGTTACTTATCCATTAAACATTTAATATAGCAAAGTTGGATGATGAAATAAAGTTTTCCGCAAAACTTTAATATCAGTGTTCCGCCTGGGGCAACGCATCGGACATTGTTTCCGCGCGAGCAAAGAATGCAATAAATAACATTCAGAAGTGTTTTGCTGTTCAAAAATTTGTTTCGGTTATTTGGACAGTGTTTATATATGGCAACTTTGAATTATTGAGCTAACTTTTAATGTAACATTATTTCATAAATATTTTATTCTACCAGTCATATTAACATTTTAATGCATTGTTAACGGCATTTATTATTCTGTTGTTTACGCCAATACCTTAAAGTTAATTTTCCATATTTCTATATTTATTAATTTTATTGACTCGTAATTAATATCGGGGTCCAGCCATCGTAAAAATGTAGCAAATTATAAATCAATAAAAATACTTATTACTAGTAATTTAATCCTGATATCTTTTGAAATTAACAATTATGATCATTTGCACTATTCTACGATTACAATGAAATCTATATATTATTAGTATAGGTAATTAATCTAATTATATTAAATCTAATAATATATAGCAACATGATGCAACATTTCAATGTAAAATTGATGCCTCAATTCCGGAATAGTTAGAAATTAATTAAATAAATGATCCATCGACCCAAGATGTTTATTGTCTATTTTCTCTTTATAACACTTAGTGCGAGGACAAGGTAGATGGTGTGTCACTCACTAAATACATAACTGTTTTCGGGACGGTGAAGTAAAACAACAAATTACCCAATGTCGTGTTGTTAATGAAAGAACCGGCTTCACTCATATATCCTAATAGAGTAGACAATTTGATCACACAGAAAAATGTGGACAGGAGACCCGGTGGAGATTGTTAATTACATAATTTGTTTTCATAAAATGTTTGGTACGTAAAGATATTATTTTTATATTTATCTACGGCAATTTTCTTTCTTATAATGGTATTAATTCATTGCCTATATAAAATCTATATATTATAAAAAAAAATTAAGCGGGTAATGCTTGTAATGTCTCGGAAACTATAATTTTGATCAAACTTTAATTACATATATGCATGTATATGAAAAAATCTCATAGATTTGACCTCCCTATTCGTTTAATTTAATACTGAAAATTACTTGGCAATTCATTTTAAAATAATGGAAAATAGTTGATTTCTGTAGGTTGTACATTATTATGGTCAATTTGCGTTAAAAATTATTCGAAATCGAACACAATAATCACATATTTATCATCATAAAAACAAAGATAAAAAATATTAAATAAGAACACAACTCCATATGTGGTTACGTTCGTAATACCAAGAGTTGATTACTATGAAGTCATACTGACGTGGTGTCGCAATTGTCACAAATTGACAGCAGAAGCAATGTTATGCAGTTAATATTATATCTATTAAGTTACACATTACTTACTTTATGCTACTGATATTAATATACTAATTTAAGAAACTGAATTTAAAATATTTATTAGTGTTCAACACTAATAATGCATATTTATCAAGGAAGACTATAGGCAATATAATCTAATGCTACCACTAAATAAGAGTGGGGCGATAATTAATAGTGTTACAAAACGGAAAAAAGTGACGCAGATTAAGTTGTGCTGGTTATCTAGTATTTGATAATTCTTAAGAGATAAAAATAAAATAAATAGCGTTTTCACCTGGTAGTTCTTTATTCGGATATGTAAGAGAACATTGGACTACACCTGTCGTAAGTAGGTATAAATGAAGCTGACGAATCAATACCTAAGATAAAGATGACACATTTCGTACATTTCGAATTCAAACATTCCATGATAATTATAAAATACTTAAGATTTAATAAATGTATATATTATAAACATGACAATTAAACACATTACCAAGGTTTTCTTTTATGTTATGTTTCTCTGGGTTCAAACTACTGTCTGCCCTGCGGCGTTACATTTGCCCGTGAATTACTTATTTTGTACAAGTGACTTGTCGTTTTTATTTATATTATAAAAATGACAATGTATATTGTATTATTTCTTTCTTCCATTTATCTGCCCTAAGGTTACCTGAAAGAAATTGCGTAGCGATAAGCCTGTCTTTTGCGGTTACAAGTGTTTAAATTTCTGTTAATATTAATACAATCATTTAATTACAGATAAATATGAGAAATCTTTATTAAATTTTAAATATACCGATACAAATACGCTTATTTTAAATCTATTGGTAGACAGTAAGTCCTGTATCGATACACGCCAAACCTTTTAGGATTATCCAGATCGGTTCCTAGAAGCTACAGCTCAATATTGATTGGAAACACTTTTAGGTTTACTGTACAAAATATTTTGTGGCTATACCTGATTAATATTTGTAAGTAAAAATACAAGATTTTAAACTTACAATTATTAATCTGGTCAATAATTAATAATTCTCTATTTAATTCCATCTCAAATAACTCAAGGAAATTTTATTGTCTTTAATATTCGAATGTGTGTTTAGTCACTGATGTGTAGTATAATTATGTATCAGTAATAGAATAATTGTATAATACATAGGTCTGTTCCAATTAGGGTTCTTTTCCAAAAATACACGTGTTTTCTTTTGCGAGACCACTGCCATACACATCATTAATACTTCGAGCCGTTTAGCACCGTGTAGCACTGGTGCCATAACTCGTACTCGTAAATAACGTGATATTTTAAGTTTTTTTCATTTGAGTGCCCCAAGGGGAATAGCTGTATAAATTTGGAAATGGAATTCCTAACCAAAGAGGAGATATTTGAGATCAAAGTGGCCAGTACGACAAAACGCCAATTTCATATGTAAGGACCTAATATTATTTCCCTATTTAAAAAAATATTTAATTTATTCATAGTATTAATGTTTTTAAATCTACTCAATAAAAGTTAATTTGATACTTTTATTTGAGAGGAAAACCACTGATATTTTTGACGTTATTGGAACCAAATAATATGAGAAAACGTACGTAAATGTAAATTTCTCGACAAACCGAGAAGACCCGAGAATTCTCGAGACCCGAAAAATTGAAAAGTTCGAGAAATTATGAACCCTAGTTCCAATACTGCCTTACGACTAATAGTATATGGAACATAGACATTTAAATAGGAATATATCAACCATTATCTGTTGTTTTTATTTTAATATTCTAATTTGTTTTAATAATATTAAAGTTAAAGGATTTCGGTTTATCAACTTTAGGATTCATTTCTCTTAGAAATCACGGTCAATGAATAACGATATTGAAGTCTGAAGGTCCGTCACTTTTCCAAATATTCATTCAAAAATATTAAAAATAGTTTATATACTATAATGTAATGTATTTTTTTAATTTGCCTAGTTTTGAATCATGTGCGCTGATATAAAAATAAATTCAAATTAATTTCAATACCATACGTAATACACATTACAAACTCAAATCTTTTCAACATATTACAGCAAATCCTTGTAAAGATTTTTGTTGAAGATGTGGTACATAATATATGATATGTATAGGTAATGTAATATGATACACATGATGTATAAAAATGTTCGCCAGTTCAAATCAATCCTATCTTAATAGAACAAAGGCAAGGGATATGTAGCAACAAAGCGAAAAAACTCTCGAGTTTCAGTAAACAGGTACTAAATTTAATAAAGCGGTGGAGTGCCGCAGGGGTCGTCTCTAGGTCCCCATTCCGCGCTCAATGACAATTATTACAAATTGTTCCATACTCCGTTGTATCCCTTCTACGTTCTTGCGGTTGCTATAAACTGGTTCCGATCAGGGTTGCCTCAGGGATTAGTTTTATCTTTATAATTATGATGTAACTTACAACATAATTTAAGTGAATATTTCTAAATACTAATACCATAATATTCCATTAACCTTCTATAATAGAATACGGGCCTCTTAACTTAAGAAGTCTGCTGTTAACACGCCGCTTTAGAAGCATAATATAAGGTTATATTTCAAGTTTTTCTTTTCTAACCCTGGGATAACTTTCATTATTTCTCAGCGACTACACAGGAGCGACTAAAATAAAGGAATAAATATACACACTGATACGTCGCGGCGAGAGAAGGAAACATCTAAAATAAAATCGTACAGCAAGCTGTCTGGCCTGCCAAGAGTTAATCTCATAATAATAAATCCTACCGAGATCCCTTCTCTAAATGTAAGGTACATTTAGAGAAGGGATCTCGGTACGATTTACGTTACCTTCAAATCAACTCTGTCATTGATTGTATTTGTCCGAACCTAGTGTTTAATTTTATGTATAACAGAGCTCGAATTATGCCGTGTAGTTCACACTGTGTACTAATTACATATGTTATTACAGTATTTATATATTTATTTTCTCATAACTTAAAAAAGATGCAGATTATATGTTCGATCGCTATGTAGGTTAAATAGATGTTTAATTGATTGATTTTCAATTATTTTCTTTTTAATACCCAATATAATGGTATATATAATTTTATAATGTTTCCTAGAACGTTAATATTGACCTTAACAGACTGAGCTTCATATTTACTGTTTTACATACGCGGTAACAGACATCCTTAATATAGTTTTTATATATTATATATATATATACTTACTTATTTTTAAGAATAGTGAACATCATTAACAGACCTAATTAATCAGGGAGATT